GTCCTCCACAGTCCAAACACATGCGCTATAAAGGAATTGATGAACTAAATTGGCCGTAGTGTATGAGTGTGTGAATGGGTGTTGCCCAGTACTGGGTTGCAGCTGGAAGGGCATCCACTGTGTAAAACATATGCTGGAATAGTTGACGGTTCATTCCACTGTGCATCTAAACATCTGAGTGGAGAACACAAGTCCTAAATGACTACAGAAATGCATAACTCTGGAACATAAATACAAAAACACTGCTAAATATCTGCTAAAATATGGAAATTGGCACAGAAAAAGGAAACAGCAAAAACATTCCGAATAATTCTGACAGAAAATCTGCAAACATATAAAATAAATAATAATAAAAAATATTAATATATATTGTAAATTCTACATAAAACTACATAATATGTTTGTAAATATTAAGTAACGTCTTAATAATAATAACTGTCAAAAATAGTCACCAAGATTACAAAATTACAAATATGAATTATATTAAATTATATTTATATATTTTTATTTTATTTATTTATTTATTTATTTATTTATTTATTTATTTATTTTGCTTTTATTATAAACTTGCTCATTTATTATTATATTGTTTAAAAATTTATTTTAATTCTTGTATTTTATTTTTAATTTATTATTTCTTTTAGAGGATATGTTTGTTTATAATTCATACATTTTAATTTATTTTATTTCAAGGCGATAGTGGGAAAATAAGAAATTTTTTTTCCTTTGTTGTATTGTATCATATGATGTATTGTCTTGTTAAACACACACAAAAAAAAATAAAAAATAGTAGTTAATAGTTACAATAAAAAACAACATGCCTTTTGATTAGTTTGCAACCCCGGGGGTAATTACGTTATATTAAAGACACAGCATATTGATTTTATGACACCAAGTTAAACTTTCTGACACCGATACGACACTCACATACATTAAAAATAAATACAGGACACTACTGAACATTGAGGATGAGGATGGTCTCCGAGTGGCGTTCTTCAAAATTAAACGTTGAATAGACTTGGGGCTATTGGTAAGTGTGCACCGTAGTGTGCAAGGTTTATATATTTATTTTTTGGGCGGTCGCGGGATGAAACATTTGGGTACCCCTGGATTAGGCATTCAGGTCTTCAAGCATGAAAATCCATCTTTGAGTCTAGAGACAGCATCAGTGTGTGTCTGAAAGAGCAGCTTCTCACCAGTGAGCTGGTGTAGGTGGGATCAGACGAGTTCTCCGTCAGGAATCGGGACAGGCCGAAGTCGGACACTTTGCACACCAGGTTACTGTTGACCAGGATGTTCCTCGCCGCCAGATCACGATGAACGAAGCTCATCTCAGACAGATACTTCATTCCAGACGCGATTCCACGCAGCATCCCCACCAGCTGGATAGGAGTGAACTGACCATCATTCAGCTGCCGAGAGAGAGACAGAGAGAGAGAGAGAGAGAGAGAGACGCGTGGTCAGATAGATGGACAGACAGACAGATAGACAGACAGAAAAATAGATATAGATAGATAGATAGATAGATAGATAGATAGATAGACAGACAGACAGACAGACAGACAGACAGACAGACAGACAGAGAGATAGAAAGACGGACAGACATAGAGACAGACAGACAGAAAGACGAACCAACAGACAGAAAGCGAGATAGATGGACGGACGGACAGACAGACAGACAAACAGGGAGAGAGATAGACGGATAGACAGATCAACAGACAGACGTACAGACAGACAGAGAGATTGACGGACGGACAGACAGACAGACAGACGGACAGAAAGAGAAACAGACAGACAGACAGAAAGAGAGATAGACAGATGCAGAGACAGACAGATAGACGGACGGACAGACAGACAGACAGACAGACAGACAGACAGACAGACGGACAGACAGACGGACAGACAGACGGAGAAATAGACAGATAGACGGACGGACAGACAGACAGACAAAAAGACAGACAGATAGACGGACAGACAGACAAACAGACAGATGGAGAAATAGACAAATAGACGGACCAACAGACAGATGGACAGACAGACAGACAGACAGACAGATAGACAGACGGACAGACAGACAGACAAAAAGACAGACGGAGAGAGAGATAGACAGATGCAGAGACAGACAGACAGATAGACGGACGGACAGACAGACAGACGGATGGACAGACAGACAGACGGAGAAATAGACAGTTAGACTGACGGACAGACAGACAGACAGAAAGACAGACAGATAGACGGACGGACAGACAGACAGATAGACAGAAAGAGAGATAGACAGATGCAGAGACAGACAGACAGATAGACGGACAGACAGACGGACAGAAAGACAGACAGATAGACGGACAGACAGACAAGCAGACAGACAGACAGACAGACGGAGATTAGACAGATAGACAGAGAAACAGACAGATAGATGGACGGACAGACAGACAGAAAGACAGACAGACAGATAGAGAGATAGACAGACGCACAATCAGACAGACAAATAGACGAACAGACAGACAGACAGACAGACAGACAGAGAAATAAACAGATAGACGAATGGACAGACAGAAAAACAGACAGACAGAAAGAGAGATAGACAGATGCACAAACAGACAGACAGACAGACGCACAGACAGTTAGACGAATGGACAGACAGAAAAACAGACAAATAGATGGTCAGACAGACAGACAGAGAAATAGACAGATAGATGGACAGACAGACAGACAGAGAAATAGACAGATAGATGGACAGACAGACAGACAGACAGACAGACAGAAAGATAGACAGACGCACAGACAGACAGACAGATGAATGGACAGACCGACAGACAGTACTGACCCGCAGGAAGGAGTCGAGTGCTCCGTTCTCCATGTACTCGGTCAGAATCATGACGGGACAGGAAGCTGTGATCACTCCCTCCAGATGAATGATGTTGGGGTGCTGGAACTGACCCATGATTGACGCCTCAGACAGGAAGTCACGCCTCTGCTTGTCCGTGTATCCGCCCTTCAGCGTCTTGATGGCCACGTAGTTCTCTTTCTTCCCGGGAACCTTGAGCCGGCCGCGACACACCTCACCAAACTCACCTGTATGAGGAATATCAGATGGACATGCACACAATGCTGTAACCCGAGCTGCGCTTTCATCAGGTGTGTGTGTCCGCATTACTGCTGTTCACAGGGAAACATGAGACTCACGCCACACCTGTGCAACACACACACACACATACACACAGTTCTCACCAGCACCGATGACCTCCTCGATCTTCACAAACGACACGTCGATCTCTTTAGCGAATTCCCGCACAGCCTCATTCGGATCCTCGTACGTGAACGGATCAATGTACACTTTAATCCCTGTCAGAAACACACACACACACACACACACACACACACATTACTTTACATTAAAACAACGACAGCATGCACTTTTTATATTTCAAACACTTATAAAGGGTGGTGTGGAGGCTCAGTGGTTAGCATTGTCATCTCACAGCAAGAAGGTCGCTGGTTCGAGCCTCGGCTGGGTCAGTTGGTGTTTCTGTGTGGAGTTTGCATGTTCTCCCCGTGTTAGCGTGGGTGCTCTAGTTCCCCCCCAGTCAAAACACATGCGCTATAGGGGAATTGAGTAACTACACTGGTCCTAATGTATGAGTGTGTGAATGAGCGTGTATGGGTGTTTCTCAGTACTGGGTTGCAGCTGAAAGGGCATCCGCTGTGTAAAACAGGCTGGATTAGTTGGCGGTTCATTCCACTGTGCTGACCCCTAATTAATAAACGGACTAAGCCAAAAAGAAAATGAATGAGTGAACATTTTTAAGTACTAAATAGATGATTTAATGTACTAAAATAATTAAAACCGAAATAAATATTAGTTAAAAAAATATAGATAGGTTAAAAAATACTGATAATCTAAGTTAAAATAGTGATAAATAAGCTAGCAAAACTACAATGATACCAGAAAAACTAATTTTTATATTTTAGAAATATATTTATAACAATTTATTGTTATTAATTACGATAATTCATTGTAATTTTGAAGTATTGTTTTGTGATTTTTATGTGAAACTTTATGTGCTGCCTGCCATCTTGATCATGTCTCACTGAAAGAAGAGACAGTACTGTGTCAATGTGATCTCCTGGCTAAATAAAATAAATAAATAAATAAATAAATAAATAAATAAATATATATATATATATATATATATATATATATATATATATATATATATATATATATATATATATATATATATATACTATTAACAAACAAACAAAATAATAATAATAATAATAATAATAAGAAGAAGAAGCACTAGCAAGCATCATTAGTATTGTGTTATCCAGAGATTTAGATCTCATTTGATTTACTTAGAACTTAATAAATGCTAACTGCAAAATTATGCAGTAAATTAAATATAAACAAAATAAACCAAGAACATCACTTACTGATATGATTATATTTTAGTTTTACATTTATCTTACCAAATGCAAGTTTTAGTATTTCAATATTTATAGTTCAATAATTTCAATATAATATAGTTTTCAATATTCCGGCTTAGTCCCTTTATTAATCCAGGGTCGTCACAGCGAAATGAACCGCCAACTTATCCAGCACGTTTTTACATAGCGGATGCCCTTCCAGCTGCAACCCATCTCTGGGAAACACCCACACACACTCATTCACACGCATACACTACGGACAATTTAGCCTACCCAGTTCACCTGTACCACATGTGTTTGGACTGTGGGGGAAACCAGAGCACCCGGAGGAAACCCACGCGAACGCAGGGAGAACATGCAAACTCCACACAGAAATACCAACTGACCCAGCTGAACCAGAGACAGCTCTACCTACTGCGCCACTGTGTTGCCATCTTTTAATGTTATTTTGGCAAACTGAACGACTCTGAAAAAAGATTCGTTCCTCAATGAACGAGACTCAAAGGTCCAAATCAGTAAAATGATCTGAACTTCCCATCACTATCTTATTCCCGTCACCTCATACTTCAGCTTCTCATCAAATCTTCTGAGCAATCAAATGCTTTCTAGTGTCTGACATGCCCCCCTTTTTCTTCTCATTGGCTGTTTGTCCAACCACTATCACTGGCAGAGCCAAAGAGCATAGAATCACCAAGAGGCGACACTCTAGTGCAACTTGGGAAACAGCCACTAGATGGCGCGGCGGCCAATTTGGAATGAAAACTCCAATAGAACAGCAGCATTTTATAAATCCGTGAAATAAACTATTAAAAGTGCTGATGATTGTGATAGTAAGTGTTGCATTGTCGTCTTTCAGGTTGTATCTCAGCTTTAATGCGCTTTTTAAATTAAAGAAATAAAATCACGGCAGTTGTTTGTCATCGCAACAGCAATAAGATCCAATGGACGGCCGATGGCTTTCACTCCAAGATGGCGGAATCCGGGGCTGTTGCTGGGCGCTGCTGTTGCAATGAAACGTTCTATTGAGTGTCGCCTCTTGGTCATTCTAAGCTCTTTGGCAGAGCTGTGAAAAAACTAAACCCTATTGGGTTTTTTTTTAAAGGGAGGAGCTTCTCTATGCCCTGGCCAATTCAATTGAGATTACGTCAAACACTGAATAAAAATGCAGATTTCAAAGCACTTTGTATGTCATCAAATGAAGAATGCTACTTGGTAAGGTGAGTTCCTGTTAGCTGTTGGTATGTGCCTAGCAACAGTAACACCTGAACTGTTGGGTGGTGAAGTGTAATGACAGGTTTGCGCAACTCTGGACGTGTTTGTGTGACGTTATCTGTCTTCATCACTTCACACGTAACACTATAAATCTCAGATGCTCAGAGAGTTTATTGACTAATAAACTGTGGTGAAATCCCAATCACTCACCCTGACCCATCAGGAACTGGCCGCTCTTATCCGGGTCTGGATCCCTCCTCCGAGTCGAGCGTCTGAAACACACACACACACACACAGTTGAAGTCAGAATTATTCGCCCCTCTGTATATTTTTTCCCCAATTTCTGTTTGACGTAGAGCAGATTTCTTCAACACATTTCTAATCATAACAGTGTTAATAGCTCATCTCTAATCACTGATTTATTTTCTCTTTGTCATGATGACAGTAAATAATATTAGACTAGATATTCTTCAAGACACTTCTATACAGCTTAAAGTGACATGTAAAGGCTTCACTAGGGTAATTAGGGTAAAGTTAGGGTAATTAGGCAAATCGTTGTGTAATGATGGTTTGTTCTGGAGACAATCAAACACAAATATTGCTTAAGGGAGCTAATAATATTGACCTTAAAATGGCTTTAAAACAATTGAGAACAGCTTTTATTCTAGCCCAAATAAAACAAATAAGACTTTCTCCGGAAGAACAAATGTTAGAGGAAATACTGTGAAAAATTCCTGAATCTGTTCAACATCATTTAGGAAATATTAGACAAAGACTAAAGTTCACAGAAAAGCTTCAACTCTAGATTTCAGAGTCATCTTCTGCTGTGTTTATATGTGATAGGATTACAGAGGTGTGTGTGTGTGTGTGTGTGTGTGTGCATTCCTCTCTCATGACTGGTGTGAGATTCTCTGTTGTGTGAGAGACCCTGCAGCTGTTCGCTTCTCTTTATGACACTACTGTGCTCGTGTCACATGACCTCAAGACTGTCTGTGTGTGTGTGTGTGTGTGTGTGTGTGTCGTCTAGTGAAGTCATCAGAAAACAGTCTGGACACACAGACAGCAAATGTTCCTGTCTGCAGAGGAGCTATGAATCTGGCTGGGTGGAGAGCTAATGCTGTAAATGTTTATTGAACTCTATTAAATACTCGCTTCTTTCTCTGTCAGATCATATGTGATTCAGTGTTCTCATTAGCAGACTACTTTCACCTGAATACACAACTCATTCATTCACTATGCGCTGGACAGGAGGACTAAGACAAGATGTTTACACTGAGCAAATGAGTTGTGTTCTGTAAATATGAAAAGAGTTTTTGAGATTTAGGGTGCTTTCACACCTGTGAATCGATTCAGTTGTTCCGAAACAGAGATTACAATTGTTACATTGTTGCTCTTTGCTCTTGGAGCAGTTCACTTTCACACTGTAAAGTTTCTAATCGGACCAAAAGAGCTAAAACAAGTAACTCACATGATTGGTCAGAGTGTCAGGGTTTATTTTGCAGCGTCCCGCTCAGCTGTCAGGAGAGGTGGTGGTTTGGTGGTGATTGACAGGGTGTGCGCGTGACGTGTCTGAGGAGAGATGCGGTGGGGAGGGGTGAGAAGGGTGCGCGACGATGCCTATTTGAGGACCGGGAGGGAGACGCGAGATTACCGGGAGATCATCACTCGTTTGCGGGCATCCGGAGACTCGCGAAACTTCCCGCCCTACTCATAATTCTCTCTTCATATAGCCGTAAGCCTATTACATATGCATAAAACACTGTGATATAACCGCGCTCGGATCGGATCGCTTTCTCACTGCAATCGAACCGCTCCAGGGTTCGTTTCAAACGAGCCGAGACCACCTCATTCAAGCGATCTCGGAGCGATTACTTTGGCGCGGAACAGAGCGCGATTGCCCTGTTCACATATGCGCTAACTGGGCAAACGAGACACGTTCCGAAACAAAGTGTAGGTGTGAAAGCACCCTTAGATTTGGCTGTAACACACACACACAGGGCCGGCGCGTCCATAGAGGCGACCTAGGCGGCCACCTAGAGCGGCAGTATAGAGAGGGCGGCGTCCGTGACACCTCCCTTACCACCCGCGTCCTCAGTTATGTCCGCGACACCTCCCTCACCACCCGCGCCCTCAGATATATTTGCACATAGGCGAAAGAATAGAGAGGGCGGCGTCAGCGACACCTCCAATAGCACCCGCATGTCCTAAGTTATATCCGCGTATAGGGCGGCAGAGGTAGCGACACCCGTGCGTCCTCAGTAATATCCGCGCAAAGGGCGGCAGAATAGAGAGGGCGGCGTCCGCGACACCTTCCTCTCAACCTCAGCACCCGCGCGTCCTCAGTAATATCCGCGCATAGGGCGGCAGAATAGAGAGGGCGGCGTCCGCAACACCTCCTTCTCTACCTCAGCACCCGCGTGTCCTAAGTTATATCCGCGAATAGGGTGGCAGAGGTAGCGACACCCGCACGTCCTCAATTATATCCGTGCATAGGGCGGCAGAATAGAGAGGGTGGCGTACGCGACACCTTCCTCTCAACCTCAGCACCCGCGCGTCCTCAGTAATATCCGCGCATAGGGCGGCAGAATAGAGAGGGCGGCGTCCGCGACACCTTCCTCTCAACCTCAGCACCCGCGCGTCCTCAGTAATATCCGCGCATAGGGCGGCAGAATAGAGAGGGCGGCGTCCGCGACACCTTCCTCTCTACCTCAGCACCCGCGCGTCCTCAGTAATATCCGCGCATAGGGCGGCAGAATAGAGAGGACGGCGTCCGCAACACCCCCTTCTCTACCTCAGCACCCGCGCGTCCACAGTTATATCCGCGTATAGGGCGGCAGAGGTAGCGTTACCCGCGAGTCCTCAGTAATATCTGCGCATAGGGCGGCAGAATAGAGAGGGCGGCGTCCGCGACACCTCCCTTTCTACCTCAGCACCCGCGCGTCCACAGTTATATCCGCGCATAGGGCGGCAGAATAGAGAGGGCGGCGTCAGCGACACCTCCAATAGCACCCGCATGTCCTAAGTTATATCCGCGTATAGGGCGGCAGAGGTAGCAACACCCGCGCGTCCTCAGTAATATCCGCGCATAGGGCGGCAGAAGAGAGAGGGCGGCGTCCGCGACACCTCCCTCCCTACCTCAGCACCCGCGCGTCCTCAGTTATATCTGCGCATAGGACGGCAGAATAGAAGTCTGTGACACCTCACTTCATATTAATAACCGGTCACTTTGGTTTTCACATTGGGCGGCGTGATCGTCCTCTGCCTAGAGCGGCAGTTCAACTTGCTCCGGCCCTGCACACACACACACACACTCATACACTCAATCATAAATAAATGAATGAATGTTTAAAGAGGCAGATCACCCAAAAATGAAATGATGTCATTTCCTCATCCTCCAAATGTTTTAATCCAGTTTGACGTTAAACATTCATTCGTTCATTTTCCTTCAGCTTAGTTACTTATTTTTCAGAGGTCACCACAGTGGAATGAACCACCAACTATTCCAGCATGTTTTACACAGCGGATGCCCTTCCAGCTGCAACCCATCACTGGGAAACATTCACACACACACTCATACACTACGGCCAATTTAGTTCATCAATTCCCCTATAGAGCGTGTTTTTGGACTGTGACGGAAACCGGAGCACACGGAGGAAACCCACGGCAACATGGGGAGAACATGCAAACTCCACACGGAAACACCAACTGACCGAGCCGGGACTCGAACTAGCGACTTTCTTGCTGTGATGCCAGAGGGCGACACCACTATGCCACCATAAAAGTTAAATAATCTATATATATGAAATGCATCAGTGTGTGTGTGTGTGTGTGTGTGTGTGTGTGTGTGTGTTTGCTCCTGGGGTCAGATTCATTGTTCCAGTAAGAGTCTGTATGGAGACAGCACTGGGTGGACACATCCTGTTCCCTTCACGCACACACATACACACACACACACTCACACTCACACACACACACACACAAACACACACACACACACACACACAAACACACACACACTTGTACTTACTTCTACACACACAACACGCACATATACCCTCTTACATTTATACACCGATTCATGCAGTGGATCAATGACCTCACCTGAAGCAGAACACGGCAACAATCACCACGGCGATGAGGATGAGCAGTCCTATAGCAACCAGGACACCAGTGAGCATCAGCCGCGACGGAGACTCTTCATCTAAAACACACACACACACACTCTTAGGTAAAGACATGTGTGTGTGTGTGTGTGTGTGTGTGTGTGTGTGTGTGTGTGTGTGTGTGTGTGTGTGTGTGTGTGTGTATGAGTGTATGTTAGAGTGTGGATGTGCCAAGTGAGTGTGTGTGTGAGATGTGTGTATATCAAGTATGTGTTCGAGTTTGTGCCATATATGTGCTGTGTGTGAGTTTGTGGTATATGAGTAGTCTGTGTGAGTGTGTCATGTAAGTGTGTGTGTGTGTGTTTGTGTGAGTGTGTTTGTGTGTAAGTATGTGTATGAAGTATGTGTGTGAGCCTGTGTGAGGTGTGTGTGATTGTGTGTGAGTATGTGTATGATTTATGTATGTGAATGTGTGTGGTACACATTTGATGTGTGTGTGTGTGTGTGTGTGTGTGTGTCTGTATTATCTGTGTAACTGTGTCTGATATACATGCAATGTGTGTGAGTGTGGGTGGTATATGTGGTGTGTGTATGATGTATGTGTTTGTGTGGTGCATGAGGGTGTGAGGTGTGTGTGGTATATGTATGGTGTGTGTGTGTGTGTGTGGCGTATGTATGATGTGTGTGAGTGTGTGTGAGGTACATGTGTGTGTGTGTGTATGATGTATATGTGTAAGTTAGTGTGCATGATATGTATGTGTCTGAGGTGTGTGTACCATCAGGTAGCGTGCTGATGCTGACGGCGCTGCTGAAGTGTCCGTATCCCGCAGCGGTTCTGGCTCTGACCTGCACCTGATACTGCGACGCTCGACTCAGATCATTCAGAACCACTGAGCTGCTCCTGCTGCTGACGTACTGCCATCCATCATCCTGACCCTGCAGGTCAGAGGTCACAGGTCAGGCATAAAGTACAGGTGGAACACACACGCACACACACACACAATCTATGACTGTGTCCAAAATTACACACCTCCATACTATATAGTACGTTAAAATCAATTAGCCGAGTAGTATGTCTGAATTGAACAGTGGAATTTCAGCATCAATATCAATTCCCTTTAACATCTGAGCGCTGCTGAGCACAGTCTTAAACACTGCTGCTCAAGCATGTGACCGCCAATCAGCGGTGGTTAAGAACTTGCTCAACAGCGCTCAAATGTTAGCTGTAAATGGACGTTTTTAAAATTTCAGTATCGATTGATAGCAAAATGACAGTATAGTGACAACACTATTACGTAGGGAAGTGTGTGATGTCATACGGAGCGTCTGTCTGTCAGTGTATCTCACCTTCAGACTGTAGCGCAGCTGATAATCCTGAATGCTGTGCTGCGTTTGTGGAGGAACCGTCCAGCTGATGGACACGCTGCTCTCAGATGCTTTAATCCTCCTGATACCAGACACAGGGACAGCCACTGCACGCACACAAACACAAACACACACACACACACACACACACAAAATAAATGTTTATGATAGATCTAAGTTAGAGACCATATAAACCCGTAAATTTCTCAATTTATAAACACCTGATGTCCAAATTACTTTGTCCCTCCTCTGAAATGTGTATAATATTTTAAAAAGTGCAGTTTAACAGATATTTTAACACATTTCTAGACATAATAGTTTTAATTTCTAATTGTCTTTGCCATCATTCATAATGTTTTACTAGTTATTTAGCAAGGTACTAGTTCAGCTTTACTTTATTTACTTTAATTTAAGGCTTACTAGATTAATCAGACAAGTCATCAGTCAACAGTGTTGTTTTCTGTAGCAAACCGAAAAAAAAATCCTTAAGAGGAGAATGATATTTAACCATAGCAGTTTTTACATTTAATTTAATATCCAAAAAAGCGGTGCTCGTGCAACCAAAGTCCTGCTTTTAAGCTTTAACCACACTTTGAACAGATTATTAATCTGCCTAACATTAACGGGATATTTTCACCAGTTTTCTTTTGCTTGCAGTTATTTTTGTTAATGTGGTTTAATTATCATCCTTTACAATAACACTGCTTAAATAGGAGATCAACTTTCTATTTATCTATTTATATATTTTTTATATATTCTATTTATCCCGTGATCTGGGACCTTTAGCCTGGACAGACTACTGTGTATAGTTTTAGATACGTAACATTATTTTTTTATTGTTTTTTAAGAACATTTTTGTTGAATAAAAATATATATGTTGCCTGTTTTTACACAATATTTAAAAATTGTGGCGAGAAAATTATAAGTTTGGTGTGGGCAGAGGAAAAAAAAGAGGTAAATCCTTAGTGTTGAGCCCTAAAAAGTGAATATAAACTGTGAAATAAAACTAATTGCAATGTGACACTATGAAAGGCAGTTTGCTCATGCTCATTGAGCAAGGTCATACACGACACACAAAAAACTGAAATTAACAAGGAGGCATGTGGACATAACACAACATCTATAAAGTCATTTTTGCATGCCAAAGTCAAATTTATGCATATAAAATATATTTTCCCAACAACAAAATTGTGGCTAGTGAAAATGGCGAGTGGCTAGTAATGTTGAAAAAGTACTAGCCACAGTGGCTGGTGATCAAAAAAGTTAATGTCAAGCCCTGTGTGTGTGTGTGTGTGTATATATATACATATCTACAGAACGAGTGCTTATTTACTTTGAAATTTGTATTTTTTATTTTGCTAATTACCATTTTATCTCATTTATTTTTTAGTGACAGTTCTTAATCGTTTTTAGGTTTAATTTTCATTTATTAAGAATAATTTATTTGCTTTTTGTTAACGAAAATGTTTGGTCCCACTTTATATTAAGTGGCCTTAACTAATATGTACTTACATAGGTATTAATAGTTTGTTACAATGTACTTATTGTGTAAATACATGTATTTACTGTGTACTTACGCTTGATTAAATACATGTATGTAGTTACATCTGTAGTTAACTTTTGTAATTACATTTGTAAATACACTGTTGACTATCCCTTACACCTTAACCCACCCTTAAACCTACCCACGCCACCAAACCTGTCCATAACCCAACCTCTATCCCAACTCAAAAGCACCACAAGTGTTCTCAAATACATTATAAACACAGTAAGTACATTGTATTTATTTTTTGATGTAAGTACATAGTAGTTAAGGCCACTTAATATAAAGTGGGACCAAATGTTTTTTTAAAACATACTCTTTTGCTACTTTTAGCTCGGCGCAAGGGTCATTTTGAGGCGTTGCGCTACGCTGTTTAAATAGCAAATGCATTTGTGCTCAAATGTGCACCCATAGGCGTTCTGGTCTAAATAAGGAGGCGTGTTTTGGTGCGTTGCTATTTTAAGAAACTGTAAATAGTCTAATCTTTAGACCAGAACAAAGACGGTCTATTGTCTGGCGCAAAGTGCGCCTGGCTTACACACTACACACAAGATGCAGAGCAATAAGCAAATATCTTTACATATGAAAAATATATAATATCTTAAGGATATATATATATATATATATATATATATATATACATATATATATATATATATATATATATATATATATATATATATATATATATATATAAAGAATAAGGATATATACAGGATATAAATATAAATGATTAAAACCCCTAAATAATTAAAACCCCTTAAAACCGCCGTTTCTAGCCTACATGAAGATTTAAAAACCACCGCCTTACTTTTTTCATCTCGGGAGGCTTTTTCAGTTCATTCAATTTGCTTTTGTATAATGTTATTATTATTAGCAGTATTATTTATTATATCCATATTTATATTTGTTTTATTAAAAACAAGCTTAGTATTTGGAAATAACTCAGTATTTTGACCACACTTCGTTATTATTGTTCATTTATTAGTTTGCTGGAAATTAGAACTGAATTTAGAAATAGTTTTGAAACGAATATTTGCGCTTAACAAACAAAATTAATTATTTATAGGCTAATTGATGTCTGTGCGTAAAGGTTTCCCTATCCACGAGAGCAAAAGCGAAAGTGAACTTACTTTACGTCAAAATGCGCTCTTGGCGCGACGCAGCTGGCTCTTAAAGGGAATGTGAGATGAGGCTCTGATTGGTTTATTCTCAAAAGACACCTATAACTCATTAAGAGAATAAACTCAAGCCTTTTAGCCCATGCGCCATGGCGCAAAGCAGATTTTCCCGCCCTTAAATTAGCAAAAATGCGTTCTGACATGCCCTGAAAGCGTTTGCGCCCTGCGTTTTGCGCTCTGCGCATGGGCCATCAAAATAGAGCCCTTAGTAATCATGGTGACTGACCATCTCTGCTGGTAGTGATGTTGACGGAGCTGGAGGCGGGGCTTGTGTGACTGACAGCGCTGACGCCGTTCTGGGCCAGCACAGTGAAGGTGTAGGTGGTGTGTGGGAGGAGTCCACGGATGATGACACGCCTCCCGGGCACGCCCATCTGACCCGGCCTATAGGTGATGCTGTCTGCACACTGGACGCATAGGGAGCCTCTGCAGTGCATACACTCCACGCTGTAGGAGAGATCAGAACGTCCACCGCGATCTAGCGGCTCCGACCACTCCAGGGTGACCACCGTATCATTGATCTGATAGATGATGCTGCGCGGAGCCGATGGCGGTTCTGTAGGGACAGGTCAAAGGTCAGAGAGCACATACACAAGCCTATGTACAAGTTTACACCTTAAGTAGTACCAAAGACTATAGAATAAACAAGATGAGTCACTTCTATGGTTTTGAATGCGGAAAACTGTAACGTCAACATGGCGAATGAAGCCAATGAAAGAAGTACAGGAGCCAATCAGTGATCACTATAGACTGAGGATTCTGCGAGAGAGGGGTTTGGACCAGAGGTGAGTTTCTGCAGATTTTGCAGCAATTCAATTCAATTCAGCTTTGTTTGTATAGCGCTTTTACAATGTAGATTGTGTCAAAGCAGCTTCACATAAATGATCATAACAACTGGATCAGGGTAGTTCAGTTTTTAGTGTTTGTTTTGAGACAATTGTTGTTTAATTTTATTGGTGATTTCGAATATGAAATTTAATCGTAAGCTTGGCAAACAGTTTTAGAGAATTTGATGTTTCCCTATTTAAACAGGATGTCCAAGTATACTGCCTAAGAGGCGTTTCAAAAATGGCTGTCGACTGAAATGACTTGCCTTAAAGGGACTTTGGTAGTACTAAGTAGGGCAAGTCAATATGGAAAAATATCACAATTATTCTGGTGGAAATTATAACAACAGTTATTTAAAATATGTATTTAACTGGTAATTAAACATTCTGCTTTTTGAATTTTTAATGTGACTGCCAAATAACTGCCAGAATTTTACATTTCGAATTTAAGTATTCACCTGGGCTAATCAATCTGAAAAAAATATTACAATTATTCTGGCAAAAATTCTCTTGAGAATTATAAAAAATGTTTGTTTAACTGGCAAAGTAAAAGTTTTTTTTAAAATCGGTTTAAATTTTGAGTGTAACTGCCAAATAACTGCCAGAATTTCAAATTTAAGTATTCAACTAGTACTAAGGCTAGTAAATATGGAAAACAATCAGAATTATTCTGGCGAAAATGTTAACGATAAATATTGAAAAATATTTCTTTAACAGGTAAAGTGAACATTTTATTATTGCTTATATTTTGAGTGTAACTGCCAAATAACTGGCAGAATTTCAACTTTCGAATCTGAGTATTCACCTGGTAACTAAGTAGGGCTAGTAAATATGGAAAAATATCATAATTATTCTGGCGAAAATTGCAATGACAATTATAAAAAATATTTCTTTAACCGGTAAAGTGAATGTTTATTTTATTTATTAATTTTTTTAAATCTCTTTATATTTTGAATGTAACTGCCTAATAACTGCAAGAATTTCAAACTTCAAATTTAAGTATTTACCTTGTACTAAGTAGGGTTAGTCAATAAGGAAAAATATCAGAATTACTCTGGCGAAAACTGCAATGACAATTATTAAAAATATTTCTTTAACCGGTAAAGTCAACTTTTTTTTCTTTTAAATTGCTTTAAATTTTGAATGTAACAGCCAAAAACTGCCAGAATTTCAAATTTAAGCATTTACCTGTTAACTAAGTAGGGCTATTAAATATGTAAAAATATCAGAATTATTTCGGCGAAAATTGTAATGACAATTATTAAAAATATTTCTGTATTCAGTATAAAGTCAACACATTTTTTATTTTAAATCGCTTTAAATTTTGAGTGTAACTGCCTAATAACTGCCAGAATTTCAAATTTAAGTATTCACCTGGTAACTAAATAGGGCTAGTAAATATGAAAAAATATCACAAAAATTCTGGTTACAATTCCAACAATTATTAAAAATATTTCTTTAACCGGTAATTAACCGGGAATTTAAATATTCATCTGGTACTAAGTAGGGCTAGTTAATATAAAAAAAATATCAAAATATTTTGGTGAAAATTGTCTAGTTAATGTGTCAATTATTAAAAATATTTCCTTAACCGGTAAAGTGAACATTCTACTTTATCGCTTTGAATTTCGAATGTAACTGCCAAATAACTGTCAGAATTTCAACTTTCGAACTTGAGTATTCATCTAGTAACTAAGTAAGGCTAGTAAATATGGAAAAATATCATAATTATTATGGCCAAAAAAAAAGACAATTATTAAAAACATTTCTTTAACCGGTAAAGTGAACATTCTATTTTATCGCTTTGAATTTCGAATGTAACTGCCAAATAACTGTCAGAATTTCAACTTTCGAACTTGAGTATTCATCTAGTAACTAAGTAAGGCTAGTAAATATGGAAAAATATCATAATTATTATGGCCAAAAAAAAAGACAATTATTAAAAACATTTCTTTAACCGGTAAAGTGAACATTCTATTTTATCGCTTTGAATTTCGAATGTAACTGCCAAATAACTGGCAGAATTTCAAATTGAAGTATTTACTTGAGTGATTATACACAAAGTATACTTTCACGCAAACATATGAATAGAGGCGAATTTCCACCTAATGGTGTGAATGTTGTGAAATCTGCAGTGTTTACTCACAATCACTTGTTCTGCGCAAGTTCTAAATATTCTAACCGAGCGAGAAAGTTTGTGTGGGGCAAAAACATCTGCCGAGTAATCTAGGGCAAGGAAGTGGATGCACATTTTCTCTTTGCATTTGTTGTGAACACCAACATTAATTTAAGTTTTATGCGTCGCTATGGAAACAGAATACAGTTCTATAGAGTTGTCAAACTCTAGACTGTTCTAAACTTACTAGCGTTAACACAAAAATTAGGAATGAAAAATGTTTGTTGCCTTGATGACTTTAAAAAACAGTAACTTGACATCTAATGATCAAACATCAGTTCAGCGGATAATAATGCTGGTTCATTTTTTTATTCATTTTATTTTCTATTCATTTCATTTTTTCCGTTAACAATAACGCATGCTGATGTAGTCACTGTTGGTAGAAAATGATGTGCATGTCGACAAATCTTCGTTACGTCTTAGTCTTGTAAATAAAAGTTGTCAACACACATCCTTGCCTTTATTTTCGTTAACGGTAAGTTTAGAACATCCCCGCGGTCTCCCTGGAGTGAGATTTGATTTTATTTACATTATTTTAGCACTGTATTTCTGTTTTATTGTTTAGTTTAGTAAAACAGATGAACAAAAACACACCCTAATACCAGGCGTAAACAGGGCCTATTAAAGCAACACCATCAGTGTGTGTGTGTGTGTGTGTGTGTGTCTTACTGGTGCAGGCTGAGTCCGGAAGGTCACTGGTGGCTCGGTGGTATCCTGGACGACACACACACAGACTGGATCCAGCGAAGTGTGTGTTACTGTTGTCTGGACACACACGACACAAGCTCCCTCCGACAGATGCTTTATACTGGCCCAATCCACACGCTGTGAATGACGACACACACACACACAATACATCAATACATCATGCTTATTACAGCTCCATAACACAGAAACATTAAAGAAAGTCATCAATTAAACCTCCACATCAGATGCACGTGTGTGTGTGTGTGTGTGTGTGTGTGTGTGTGTGTGTGTGTGTTTGGGGGTTGGTGTTGGTTAAACACATTCAATCTGCTCTCAGGCCCTCAATGACCCGCCTGTTGTATTCAAATAATGGAGTCAGACACGCACACACACACACACACAAACACACACACACACACAAAGGGAAGGCCGACACAAAGACCAATTAGTGCAAACAAATTCAGCCACCTGCTGCGGTATGTGTGTCTGTTAAGTTTGTTAAATGTGTGTGTGAGTCTGCGTATGTGGTTCTATGTGTAAGTGTGTGTATTTTGTGTTTGTGTGTATTATTTATGGATGTGTGTGTGTGTGAGAGAGAGTGTCTCTGTGTATGTGTAAGTATGTGTATTTGTTTGTGTGTGTATTTATTTTTGTATGTGTGTGTATATTATTTGTGTGTTAAATGTATGTTTAAGTGTGTGTGTGTGTGTGAGTGTGTATGTGGAAGTGTTTGTGTGTGTGTGTGTTTGTGTGTAAAAGTGTGTGTACTTGTGTGTAGTTATTTTTGTATGTGTGTGTATATTATGCATGTGTGTGTGTTTAGTGTGTGTATATGTGTGTCTCTGTGTATGTGTGTGTATTTGTTTGTGTGTACATTTATTTTTGTATGTGTGTTTATTATTTGCGTGTTAAGTGTGTGTGTGTGTGTGTGTTTAGTGTGTGTGTGTATTATTTGTGTTAAATGTGTGTAAGTGTATGTGTTTGTGTGTGCATTTATTTTTGTACGTGTGTGTATATTATTTGTGTGTTAAATGTGTGTGTGTAAGTGTGTGTGTGTGTGTGTCTCCGCGTATGTGGAAGTGTGTGTTTGTGTGTGGATTTAGTTTTGTATGTGTGTGTATTATTTGTGTGTTAAATGTGTGTGTGTGTGTAAGTGTGTGTATTTATTTTGTATGTGTGTGTGTGTGTGTGTGTGTGTATGTGGAAGTGTGTTCATTTAGTTTTGTACGTGTGTGTGTATATATTGTGCACTAAATGTGTGTATGTGGAAGTGTGTGTATTTGTGTGTACGCATGTGTTTGTATGCATGTGTATATTATTTGAGTGTTAAATGTGTGTGTGTCTGTTGGTGTGTGTATTTATTTTTGTATGTGTGAATGTTTTATGTGTGTTTAGTGTGTGTGTGTGTGTGTTATTTGTGTGTTAATTTTGTGTGTTAAATGTGTGTGTGTGTGTCTGTCTGTGTATGAGTGAGTGTCTCTGTGTATGTGGAAGTGTGTGTATTTATTTTTGAACGTGTGAATGTTTTCTGTGTGTTTAGAGTGTGTGTGTGTGTTATTTGTGTGTTAATTTTGTGTTAAATGTGTGTGTGTATGTTTAGTGTGTGTATGTTTAGTGTGTGTCTGTGTATGAGTGAGTGTCTCTGTGTATGTGGAAGTGTTCGTATATTTGTGTACATTTGTTTTTGTACGCGTGTGTATGTTATTTGTGTACGTATGTGTGTGTGTGTGTGTGTGTGTGTGTACAGATCTTCATAAGTGACTAAATAAATAAATAACTCATCAGCGTTCATCATTAGAGAGTCTCACACATGTTTCTCTTCAGCACCAGCTATACAGTAAAACACACTGCATGTCTGTTATTGTAGGAGTCAGATGATTACCCAGAGTGCACCTGAAGGAAGAGACGTTACCCATGAGTCCCGGTAATGACTCACGCTCTATCAGTAAACCGGCGCGTTTATGAATCAATGAATGAGGACGATGAGACGTGGGAAATATCTGTAACCGCTGTGGAATAAAACGCCAGCAGATGATCGCGTTCCTCCTGTGACGGATCACGTTACCCATAATCCTCAGCCACACCCCACCAACCAATTCCTGTTCATTAAAAGAGCATTTCATCAAGCTCTATTAAAAACATCAGCTCTGCGAGTATAAACACAGCTGCTTTAGATTGAACGCCGGTCCACAACGCTCGCTTTTCTCATCACCACACAGAGGAGACACACACACACACACACACACACACACACACATATAGAGCTGTGACTGTGTATGCTCACGGCTCATTAACACACTCTATTAGTCACGACACACACGCACAATTAACACCTACAGCTCAGACGCCAAAGAAAAGAGGAGTCTCTCTATTAAAGGAACACTACACTTACTCTGGAAATAGTCTCATCTTACAGCTCACCAAGAGTTAAACGGTTGGGTTTTACAATTATTGACTTCATTTAGATGATCTTTGGGTCTGGCAGGAGCACTGTTAGCTTAGCTTAGCATAGATCATTGATTTGGATTAGACCGTTAGCATTTAACTCGAGTTTAAATAATCATACATTCATTTTCTTTTCGGCTTAGTTATTAATCTGGGGTCACCACAGTGGTATGAACCGCCAACTTATCCAGCATATGTTTTACGCAGCGAATGCCCTTCCAGCTGCAACCCATCACTGGGAAACACCCTTACACTCAAATTCACAATGGATAATTTAGCTTATTTAATTCACCTAAACCACATGTGTTTGGATTGTGGGGGACGCCGGAGCAACCGCAGGAAACCCACCCCAACATGGGGAGAACATGCAAACTCCAAACAGAAATGCCCACTGACCCAGCCAGGACTCGAACCAGCGACCTTCTTGCTGTGAGGCGACATGCTACCCACTGCGCAGTGTTATCTGTTATCTCTCTCTCTTGGTAGTCCCCGATTTAAACTGAGATTTTGGAAACCTGGTCTAAATTGTCAGGGCGGGTAGAAAATGATTTTAAGCGGGCAGCGGGTGAACAAAGACTGAATATACAGCGGGAGCAGTCAGGTGCGGAATAAAACCTTGCAGGAGCAGGTCGAAAAAATCAATCCCGTGCAGACCTCTACTCCATAGTCTACTCCAAAGCCTTCTCACACACATTTCACACAGATAACTTTAAAGGGTCACGAAACACCAGAACACATGTGTTGAGCTGTTGACAGTGGTATATGTGTCCCACACTGCTAAAAACACTATTAGGACACCTATATTTCACTAAAAAGTGTAAATTGGTTGTTTTTGCGTTATTTCAAGCAAATTCGTACTTCCGGTTTGAAACTAGTTTTTGAAGCTGCGTCACGGTCATGAGATAATAGCGTGTATTCCAGCGTGCAGACTGGACGTCTGTGCCAGAGTGTGTCTTATTACGTCTTACAGTGTGCTGCATTAATGCATGAGTAAGGCTTGGTTCAAACCAATCAGCACGCTCTATTGTGCACCTTCATTAATATTCATTACTGTCACAGTGTTTAGACGACAGAGACGCCACGTTGTGTTGGCAGAACAAGCGTGAAGTGTTGCTTTTATAGTTTGCTGCAGTGAAGTTTTGTTTTCATTTTCTCTCTGTGAGAGCTCAGCTGGAGTCACGTGTGGATTAACAGTGTACGCGACGCTCCACAACAATAACTTACGTGTCTAAGGAGGATTATTGTTTACCTGAGAGCTGTTCTCATCTGCAAACGCTGAGATCCGGATTCGCTTGTAGTCTCCTCTTAATAAAGACGCGGCTCTAGTTGCTGGTGATTGTTCTGTCTCTACAGATTTGGTAAGTGAGCGACCAGTGCTCTTTGTTTATTCAGTTTGTTCGTATCGAACTAAGTTAACTATTGCACCGAGTGTAAACATGTTAGCATCACAACCAAACTTTAACCTCGTGTAGGGTTTTCACTGCATTTAGTGACCGGAATAACACACGCGGCTTTCTGACACTACCTGCTGTGTGCATCTAAGTTTCCGGGAAATGCTGAGGGTTTTTTTCTCTCATTCGCCGTGCGGTATCAAACATTGCATTAAAATACACGCTTAGAGCAGATCCTCGAATCAAATATCTCGTTTGTCGCGAGGGACATGAATGAATTCCCTGAATGAAAGAGCCAAACTGCAGTTAAAGTTCACCATTTAATCATTTGGCAAATAATTCCACTACAGATGTCCATGTAGGTTAAACACCATCACTTTCTCCTGTGTGTGTGTGTGTGTGTGTGTGTGTGTGTGTGTGTGTGTGTGTGTGTGTGTGTGTATTTTGACTCTGAAACTCGCGCGCGCCCAAATAGACACTCCCACACCATCCCACTTTAGTTCCTCCGACACTCCCCCCTAAACAGAGCTGGACACGCCCACTTTTCTGACTTTTTCCAAAGTAGAGGTGTGAAAACACCCTGCTGAAACAAGGGGCTTTCATGGCCCTTTAATCCTGCTTTTGAATCTGCCACTATGCTGACACACAGTCATTTGTAGCTCCGCCCTCTTCTGAAAAGAGCCCAATCTCATTTGAATTTAAAGCGACAGTCACCAAAACACCACAATTAAGATCAAAGCCTGAAAGGGTCAGTTTCAGAGGCTAATACAACATTATCTGTGTGATATTTAGACTGAAACTTCACACACACACACACACTCTAGCCACATCAGAGACTTATTTTGCATCACAAGCATCATACACACGTAACCTCATATGCGTTACTTACCCCTGCAGCGGTCGGAGTCGACAGGTTCGTATCCTGGTTTACAAGCACATGTAGACGACGGAGGCCCCACCCACTGACCGTCCTCCCCGCAGAACATAGTGGGTGGAGCTGTGCTCTGTCCAGTGGGGGCGGAGTTATCCACGCACACACCCTCCGCCTGCTGCACCAGCGAGTGAGGGAGCGTCTCCGGGAAGGAGGAGAAGGCGCGGGAGACGGCAGGACACTTCTTGAAGAAAACCCTGACGGACAGCAGAGCCATGCACGCGCCCTGAGTCTGAAACGCCAGGTAGAAGCCTTTCTTCGACAGCGGACCCACACGCACCGTCTTCACATTGGACTTCCTCTCTCCGCCGCGACGCAACAGGAAGTCAGCAGCAACTGTGTCCACCTGCAGGACAACAACATTTACTCTCAGTATTTATTCACATTTCTAATCATAATAGTGTTAATAGCTCATCTCTAATAACTGATTTATTTTATCTTTGTCATGATGACAGCACATAATATTAGACTAGATATTCTTCAGCACACTAGTATTCAGCTTAAAGTGGCATTTAAAGGCTTCACTAGGGTAATTAGGGTAAAGTTAGGGTAATTAGGCAAGTCATTGTATAACAGTGGTTTGTTCTGGAGACAATGCAAAACTAATATTGCTTAAGGGGGGCTAATAATATTGACCTTAAAATGGCTTTAAAACTATTAAAAACTGCTTTTATTCTAGCCCAAATTAAACCAATAAGACTTTCTCCAGAAGAACAAGTATTAGAGGTAAATATCAACTAAAACTAAATTAAAGTGGCCTCAGCCTATTATCTTAAACTTTGCTCATTCAGTTTTCATAGGTTTAGTTTACATGAACAGCAGGTTACACAAACACTATAACTTTCAGTCTCTCTAAACCCCGCCTTTCTAGAAGCCCTGCTCCGCTCTGATTGGTCAGATCTACAGTCTTGCTGTGATCGTTCTGATTCTCAAGCCAAACCAAACATCCTCTATCATGTCTGAATGTTTGGCTCTTCTTCAGCACTTGTAAACAATGGAATGAAGAGCGATGATGATGTCAGTTTTACCGTATCAATCCAGCAGAAAACTGCATTTCCTCAACATGTCAACACATGAGCCAAACTCCTCCAGCCTCACCTACAACTGCAGGGTTTGAGGGTCAAAACAGTGAGACTATGGAGAGACTTTATGCAAATGTGGGTAAACACTATATTTCGATCTAACTGTAAACAACAATAGTCAGAATATGCACCTATTTATTGGAATTACTGGTTTCAAGGCTCGAAATTGCGACTGTTTGGTCACATATGCGCCCGATATTTTATCAATGCGACCGCGAAATATAATTGGAAGCATTTGTGCGAATGCATAAAATTGATGTCATGTGACCAGTTTTCACAGCAAAATGTTCAGCACATGCACGGATTTAGGAAGCATTCATGCATTAAGCATCTTTGCACCTAAAAACACCAAGCGTAGTGCTCAGGAATGGTTTAAATCGGTTGACATGTCAACTTGCAAAAAACAAACAAAGCTTGCAATGCTTGCCCCGCCTTCAAGCTCTTTTTATTGGCCCACTGCGCTAGAACAGAATGCGAATGGAATGGTTAACATCAGCTGTCAATCACTCAGTTCCGATGACAGGGAGCTGCAGCCACAAGAATGTAAAGGTCTGGATCAGAGAGAATGAAAACATCACTGGCAGATTTAGTGTTAGAAACCACCTAAAGTTACTAATAATGGCACATGTAATTAGTGATCATGTGCTAAATGTCAATACAGCATTTACACTTTTCCAAGAGTGCATAAAAGACTTCCAGTGTAAAGTCTGCTATGAAAATGACTAAGGTCATTTACTATTCACCTTATTCTCCGCCGACGAGCGGGCGCTGCCATTTGAATCTTTTTGTCTCGTGACTTCCGGTCACATTCACTTCCATTCATTTTTTGACGTTAAAAACTGCTCGTTACGCTGCTTAATGTTGCAATTTGATATTTTATTATTATATTATGCTACTTGGTCTGTGTAGTCATGCAAACATTTGTTTGTAGAGCAAGTAGTTTGACCATTTTCTGCCGTTTATTATTCCTAGTCATTTCTCCCATAGGCGACTGAATCAGAAGTTCTAAGACAATCGCGAAAACAGGCGCACTTCCGCATTTTAGAATAAGGTCAATAAAGTCGGGGAGTAAAGGGAGTTTTCAGGTAACAGTGTATGCCACAGTGTTTCTACACATTTTAAGCACAAGATGCTCTAACGTTATTTAATCCTTCATTTAATCGTCACGACGTTGTCAATCATGCGTTCACCATCGCTAAAATGAAAGTTATATTGCAGCTCATGAAATGACCGTTATTGCTATTAGGATGACGTATGCAAATAATAAGTTACATGTAGGCCGATACGGAATCTGTGCACGCAGAATTCCACAGATTTTCAGCCCATCGTTCATTCTGTTTATTTACTTGTGTAAATGTGTGTAAATTAATTTTTATTCAGTTTTAAATTAATTTCAGTAATATTATTAACTAATATGTAAATATTCATCTGATTTATTTACAGTACAGTTTGTAAAGTCTTATTTTTTAAAAGTCTTTTAGTAGAGATATTATATGAGAGATTGCTTTGTTTACCAAAAAAATTTGATCTGGATCTGCATTGTAAACATTAAATAAAGGTTAAAAAGTTATTATTTTTTATGTAATTGATTAAGTTTTTAGTTATGATACTCCCAAAATCATTCCACATAAATCTGCAGATTTTTACCCAAATTCTCCTCAGAAATAGCAAAAAATGTCAATCTGTGCAATATCAGACGGTACCCGTGACAACAGCACAGTTATTGTTAATTCAGTTCATCTCATTCACGTCAAGCAGAGCGTGCAGGGCCTGGGGGCGCATTTGTATATATAGGGTGGGCCATTTACATGGATACACCTTAATAAAATGGGAATGGTTGGTGATATTAACGTCCTGTTTGTGGCACATTAGTATATGTGAGGGGCAAACTTTTCAAGATGGGTGGTGACCATGGTGGCCATTTTGAAGTCGGCCATCTTGGATCCAAGTTTTGTTTTTTCCAATAGGAAGAGGGTCATGTGACACATCAAACTTATTGGAAATTTCACAAGAAAAACAATGGTGTGCTTGGTTTTAAAGTTACTTTTTCTTTCATATTCTTTTACTATTTACAAGTTTCAGACCACTTATAAAATGTGTTCAATGTGCTGCCTGGTGTGTTGGATTGTTAACGCAACCCTCTTCCCCCACTCTTCACACACTGATAGCAACATCGCAGGACAAATGCCAGCAGAGGCTTCCAGTATCTGTAGTTTCAGGTCCTGCACATCTTGTATCTTCACACTATAGACAATTGCCTTCAGATGACCCCAAAGATAAAAGTCTAAGGGAGTCAGATCTGGACACCTTGGGGGTCATTAAACTGGCCCACGACGAGCAATCCGCTTTTCAGGAAACTGTTCATCTAAGAATGTTCGAACCTGACACCCATAATGTGCACTATCTTGCTGGAAAAACTCAGGGAACGTGCCGGCTTCAGTGCATAAAGAGGGAAACACATCATCATGAAGCAATCTTAAATATCCATTGAGGCTTCCAATGATAAAGAATGGCCCCACTATCTTTGCTGTCTATGGTGTCACATGACCCTCTTCCGATTAAATAACAAAAGTTGGATCCAAGATGGCCGACTTCAAAATGGCCACCATGGTCACCACACATCTTGAAAAGTTTGCCCCCTCACATATACTAGTGTGCCACAAACAGGACGTTAATATCACCAACCATTCCCATTTTATTAAGGGGTATCCATATAAATGACCCACCCTGCACAATAGAATCTGTTAATATAAAACGTGTAGTAACAGTGCTAAATTTTTGAAGTTAGGAGCACCGGTGCAACCAAGAAAAAAGGTTAATTTCTTGCCCTGATATACATTATGCAGACCTCCTCTAAAGTGCACTATCAAAATAAAGTGTTACAAACCCACATAGCTTTGCACAGGAAGTCGAGCCGGAATTCCTGACGACTCATTTCAGGTGGTTCAGAATTGCTTCTTTCTTTTGGGACACAAGAGCTCCATTTATCCTGCATGTGAGTGTGTGTGTGTGTGTGTGTGTGTGTGTGTACCTTGCTGTAGGGGTTCTCCATCCAGGCGGGGTGTGTGGCGCTGGCCGTGTCCTCGTCGCTCTGATAGTAGTAAAGGTTAAAGGTCTCCTTGCAGGTGCGGAAGCTGGCCGGCATGGCGGAACATTCCATCATGGTGAAGCGGATCTCCACGTACACCTGAGACGCGCCGTGGCGGGGGATAAAGCGTGTGCGCAGCCAGTGGCTCACAGAACTGTCCATCGGGCAAACCTGGAAGGTGCGGACGCTGTTGCCCTCTTCATCCAGACCGCTCATCTCCTCCCACTGACACAACACAGAAATCAAGAGTTACCATGAAGCTCGTATCTGGGCTAACTGAGACCATGCTGATTTTTTACATTATCATACACCGGCCAGCAAGATGGCTCAGTGGTCAGCACTGTGGCCTCACAGTAAGAAGGTCACTGGTTTGAGTCCCGGCTGGGTCAGTTGGCATTTCTGTGTGGAGTTTGCATGTTCTCCCCTTGTTGATGTGGGTTTCCTACGGGTGCTCCGGTTTCCCCCACAGTTCAAACACATGCGCTATAGAGGGATTGATTAACTAAACTGGCCATAGTGTATGAGTGTGTGGGTGAATGAGTGTGTATGTTTCCCAGTACTGGGTTGCCCTGGAAGGGCATTCGCTGTGTAAAACATATGCTGGATAAGTTGGCAGTTCATTCCGCAGTGGCGACCCCTGATAAATGAGGGGCTAAGCTGAAGGAGAATGAACGAATGAATGAATGAATACAATGAACTGGGTTTGTCTTGTTTCACATTAGAGCAGGGGTTTTCAAAGTCTAAGATAGTGGGGCTCCCTTTTGACACAACTTATCCATTGGCGACCCCCTCCTCCCAAACACGCACGCACACACACACGCACGCATGCACGCACGCACGCACGCACGCACGCACGCACGCACGCACACACACACACAAAAAATTCTGGAGGTTTTCCTGCTACCTCATTATACTTGGTTTCAAGGTGTCGCCGAAGTTTAGCGGGTCTCATGCTGTCATTAGCCAAAATATCTTGACAAACCACACATAAAGGTCGTGGTTAATCAGCTGGTACAGTCCACGTAAATCCTAAACTCAAATAAGGGGGGGGGGGGGGGTCTCAGAAACCGATCAATTGTATTAGCAGCATGATTAGCAGGCATATACCTGTATTGGCGGGCTTGCCAAACAGAAGCGAATTCACAGCTATGGCCTTCTGGGTAAAAAAAAGGTTTTCTTATTTTTGACTTATTATTTTTTTTAGCTTTGTTTAATTAAAACGTTTAAAAATAATAAAAAATACCAACACAATCTCACGGCAATTCGTAACTTTTTCATTTAATGGCTAATTCGTACAAATTCGTACGATCTAATTCGTACATTTTAGTACGATTTGCGTATCCCCCAATGACGGTTGGGTTTAGGGGTGGGGTTAGGTGCCACGCCTCCTTTTTAAAATCGTACATTTTCTTACGACTGAATTCGTACGAATTAGCCACTAAACTGCCAAAACGTAAAATACTTACGTTTTCTTGTGAGATCAGGCTGAAAAATACATATAATAATTAAACTTAATAATTATATTTTTATTATATAATATTTTTTTCCCGCGCCTCCCCTGACATGCTCTGGCGCCCCCCCTGGGGAGGCGCGCCTCACACTTTGAAAACCTCTGCATTAGAGAATTTATACAGGAATCAGGAACAGATCAGGAATACAGTTAAACTCAACACAGCCAAAAAAACAATTTTTTTTGTAATTTTTTGTCTTTTTTCTGACTCTAAATAATAAAAAAATTCCTAAATTAACAAGAGTTTTCAAAGTATAACATACTGTCTTGTTTTAAGAATCAATATGCCAAAATGAAGCGAGTTTTTCCTGAAAACAAGCATAATATTCTGCCAATTTGGTGAGTACAAAAATTTTGTTTTTCTTTTTTATGCGTGTATTAGAATTTTTTTTCAAATCAAATTCAAAATCGTGCATCAAAAAACCCCTAAAATACTCTGGGATCCACTCAAAGCTGACCAGAATGTGCGTCATACAGAATGGCATCATCAATTATGGTTCATCATTCAATCGGTTCTTCACGGATAAAACCCTTCATTTTCCACTGCATGTCTGGCTCGTGTGTATGTGTGTGTGTGTGTGTGTGTGTGTGTGTGTGTGTGTGTGTGTGTGTGTGTGTGTGTTTGGGAATATTCCTGTAGACGAGGCTGATGTGTGTTTCAGTCCCAGATTCCTAAGTTTGTGCTCAGTAATTAGGTTAAATTCTGCTTTACCCAGTAATTTAATTGGGATTCAAATACCTCCAAACCCTGAACAGCACCAGCACACAGATGAACAATCATCATAACTCTTCCTGGCCGGTTCTGTCTGTGTGGATTTAGTATAATCCAGATACTATGAAGCCGTTATTTTTGTGTTAGCGGGTGAATTAATGTTAGTGTGTGTTTTAATTTTTAAAGCAAAAACTTTGGTGTGTGGTCAGTGGTGCTTCATGCTGACTCTAACCTGGCGTGTGTGTGTGTGTGTGTGTGTGTGTGTGTGTGTGTGTGTGTGTGTGTGTGTAAGTGAGTGTGACATATATATATATATATGTGTGGTGATATGGTGACTCAGTGGTTAGCACTGTCGCCTCACAGCAAGAAGGTTTCTGGTTCGAGTCCCGGCTGGGTCAGTTGGTGTTTCTGTGTGGAGTTTGCATGTTCTCTCTGTGTTGGCATGGGTTTCCTCCGGGTGCTCCGGTTTTCCCCTCAGTCCAAACACATGCACTACGAATTGATAAACTAAATTGTCTGTGGTGTATGAGTGTGTATCTGTAAGAATGAGAGTGTATGGGTGTTTCCCATTACTGGGTTGCAGCTGGAAGGGCATACGCTGCGTAAAACATATGCTTGAATAGTTGACGGTTCATTCTGCTGTGGCGACCCCTGATTAATAAAGGGGCTAAGCTAAAGAAAAATTGCTAAATGTGTGTGTGTGTAAGAATTGTATGTATCGGTGTCAGAGAGTGTATTTGTGTGTATGTGTGAGAGAGAGTGTGAGTGTGTGTCTATTAGTATGTGTGTATATAACTGTGTGCATGTGTATGAGTGTGTGCATATGAGTATCTAAGTGTGTGTGTGTGTGTGTGTGTGTGTGTGTGTGTGTGTGAGAAAGTGTCTAATAGTATGTGTGTACAGAAGTGTGTGCGTGTGTATGAGTGCAAGTGTGCATATGAGTATCTGAGCGTGTGTTTGTGCGTCTATACACACACACACACACTCTTACTCAGTCACATGCACACACTTGCACTCATACACACACAAACACAGACACACAAATGCACCCACAAACACACTCATATATAAGTCTGTGTGTGAGAGTGTTTGAGTGTCTGTAAGTGTGTGTGTGTGTGTGTGTGTGTGTGTGTGTGTGTGTGTGTGTGTGTGTGTGAGAGAGAGAGAAAGAGTGTCTGAGTCTATAAGCTTGTGATGTATAAGTGTGTGTGGATAAGTGTGGGATTTATGTGTGTGTGTGTGTGTCACCTCGGGGTCACCGCTGGGGTAGATGGTCCATCTCAGGTCTGATGTTTCCAGCTTGGTGTTCATCAGGACCTCTGAGAAACAAACACACACAGAGACACACACGTTTACATCATCTACTACAGTAAAGTAAACCAAGATCAGAATCTCATCATCTATACTCACTGTTTACAAACGATGCACATTCATCAACCTGATGATGAGTGGACAGCATCACATACACAACATTTAACACAACTATTACAACATTTAAACACGAGCCCACAGCATCAGAACAGAAACCAAACCCCCTATTATCACTTACTGTAGTCTCTGTTCATGTTCAAACCCTCAAATAACAACATAATTAATTATATTAAGTAAGGGTGTCACGATTTCGTTTTTAAATCAATATTTTGATTAAAATTGTCAATTTCGATTATCGAATCAAAAAATGGAATCGTCGATGCTGCCAAGCTCCAAGGTTATTATAGTTAACGAAAACGAACGAAAAAACAAAAACTAAAATGTTAAATAATTGTCGTTAACTAAAATAAAAATAAAAACGAGAGTTTAAAAAAAAACTAGAACTAACTGAAACTTTATTGTGTACATACAAAACTAACTGAAACTAACAAAAATTATCAGAAAAACCTCTGTTTTCGTATTTGCAACTGTATTTAATACATAATCTTACTGTAAGCCTTTTAAAAGTAAATATAATCCGCGCTGCAGGTGTTTGTGTTTGACCCTTTCGCATCTCAGAGTCTCCTGCTGCCACTGGCCAGATCGAGACGTTCTTCTCGAGTCATCCTCGCTGTTGCTCCCGCGACAAAAACAACGAGTGGACATGACAGCAGCACGGTGACAGCATTAAATACAGACACTTAAAACTATTACTTTAACACATTTGTGCCCAATAATGGGTTTTATTACTGTATCGCGATCGCGAATGAAAGTTTGCTGTTGTATTTAAATTTGAAGATGGGTAGATGGTTGTGATAGATGATAGTGTTTGTGTGTTCTCTGAATACATGTTTTAAAAAACGTATGAGTTTTTATTAAACATTTATTCTGTTGATTTTGAATCTTGCACCTAACAAATATCCTTATTTAGAAGAAAAAAACTGAAACTAATACTAAAACTAATAAAAAGTAAACTAAAGCTAAGACATTTTTTAAATATAGAAACTAATAAAAACTAGTAAATCTGCCTCTAAAAACTAATTAAAACTAACTGAATTTGAAAACAAAAAGTCAAAACGAAATAGAAACTAAAACTATTGAAAAATCCAAAACTATTATAACCTTGCCAAGCCCCCATGTCACGTCAGCTTGGCTTGCCAAGCGGAAAAAAAAGGTTGTTGAAGAGCTTGTTGAACTGCAGACGCAGGAGACCCGTCGACAGAGCTTAAACCCTCTCCTCTTTCAATGAAGTCGCTGGTGTGAAAGTGTTTTGGATTTCCAGTGAGTTATGTTGACAAAATTTGTGTTCACACCAAAAAAATACAGTTTGCAAGCATTAGGGTTGGGCCATTAGACGAATGCAGGGATCGCGATCTTCCGCCCCGCCCCGCCCCGCCCCCGTTGCAAATCCGCTCGCGAAAAATACACACTCAGGCCCTGTTTACATTAATAGGTCTTAGTTTTTAAATTTCATTTTATTACGACAATGATCCACATCCACACTGGCGTTTTGCATTACTGAGCAGCCCTCCTTCCTCACAACCGCTGAAAACACACATCACGTGACCACACACACACACACACAGGCAGGGACACACAGAGACGCACACACATTGTCATGCGCTCGAGACAGCGGGTCCAGGCAGTCATCGGGTCAGTAGACTGCTTCAATCTTTCACTTTCACACTTGTACTTGGTCATTTTAGCGAACACCTCAGATACTGTTGGCTGGTTCCTGTTGGTTGTGCACCTTTTTTACCGACGCCATTATAAAGACACAGATCACTGCCTATTCACGAGTCCCGCGGAAAAAGTGATTGACAGGTGGTAATTATGTGTGTAACTTATTATTCATTTACTGTATGATTTGTTTATGATTTTGTTAAATTTTTTTTCTTTAATCGAAAATCAAACCGTGACTTTAGAATCGAAAGTGTAATCGAATCGAGGATTTGGAGGATCGTGACACCCTTAATATAAAGCAGTTTAGGGCCTCACAGAAGTTTTTTTGTTTAAGTTTAATTAACTGAATATTTAAAAATCAGTGGATATTATCGATGCATTTATAGGGTAAAATTGCTCATCCAATGTTTTTGGTCATTATCAATGCACCAGCAAAAACAGACCCTGCTACTTCAACGACGCTCACGCTTGCTGTTGCTGATGCACTGCTTCTGTGTTCAGTATGAAAGCTCTTATCTGTTAACATAGACGCCAAAAAAAGCATGCTCTGCTCACGCTTGCGGTGTGAAACAGGCTTGAGTCTTTCAGCACTCTCTCCGAAAACACTTGGTTGATCTCTGCTGGCATTCGCCACATGATCGTTCTCATCAGCGCCATTATTTGTAACTTTAAGTGGGTTTGCAAATCGGTGTACTTTCCATTGCTTCTTCCTCAAACTTTTTGCAACTCCTGCGGTCACAAAAGCCCCGTCATATCAACTAGTGCGCCTGAAAATCGTGAGCGTGTTGCGTCGGGTGTGCATGCCTCTATTGGAAATAACGAACTTGCACGAGCTTGCCTTAGTTAATAGCCCCAGTCATAGTTAGTCCAGTGTGTGAGATTATTAGTCTTGGTGTACAAACTAGCGCACAGTTGGCATAACTTTTAGCTGCTGCAGTTTTGTTCCTTGCAGAAACGTAATGTTGAGAAGCCTTTACGATTAATTACCTGTGACGAATTAATTCGTGGTTAATAGTGAAACCGGTTAATCGTTGCATCACTAGCTGTGACAGTTTTAGGGAAATATAATCCTGCACCCGCTGGCCTGTCAACAACTCCGCTTGATAAAAAGCGTGTTTCCATAGAGTTTTCTAACTGGTGAATGACATGATCTAGTGCAGGGCTATTCAATTAGTTTGTCATGGGGGCCGGTTCATGAAAAGCATCCCAAATGAAGGGCCGGAGAGATATAACTTGCTATATCAGTGATGACACAACTACATATAAGAGCCCATATGCTGTATTTGTGCCCATAAAGACAGCCACGTTGGCTTTTTCTACATTGAAATGTTAACATATTGTGTTTTAAAACAACTGCATTCTCCAGTTGACTTTTTTTTTGTTTGTTTACAAACATTCAAAATGTTGCAAATCGCACAACAAAAGCAGTGCATTGCTCAAGTAGGCTTCTTCTTACATTCAGTGTTGGGGACGCCGGCCTCTCTATTCTGCCACCCTAGACGCGGATATATCCGAGGGCGCGGGTGGTAAGGGTAGTGTCGGGGACGCTGCCCTTTCTATTCTGCTGCCCTATACGCGGACATAACCAAGGGCGCGGGTGGTGAGGGTAGTGTCGGGGATGCCGCCCTCTCTATTGTGCCAACCTAGACGCGGATATAACCGAGGACGCGGGTGGTGAGAGTAGTGTTGCGGACGCCGCCCTCTCCATTCTGCCGCCATACACGCGGATATATAACTGAGGGGACGGGTGGTAAGGGTAGTGTTGCGGACGCCGCCCTCTCCATTCTGCCGCCATACACGCGGATATATATAACTGAGGGGACGGGTGGTAAGGGTAGTGTCTGGGACGCTGCCCTCTCTATTCTGCCGCCCTAGACGCGGATATAACTGAGGGCGCGGGTGGTAAGGGTAGTGTCTGGGACGCCGCCCTCTCTATTCTGCCGCCCTAAATGCAGATATAATCAAGGGGGCAGGTGGTGAGGGTAGTGTCGTGAACGCCACCCTCTCTATTCTGCCGCCCTAGACGCGGATATAACTGAGGACGCGGGTGGTGAGGGTAGTGTCGCAGAAGCCGCCTTCTCTATTCTGCCGCCCTAGACGCGGATATAACAGAGGGCGCGGGTGGTGAGGGTAGTGTCGCAGAAGCCGCCTTCTCTATTCTGCCGCCCTAGATGCGGATATAACAGAGGGCGCGGGTGGTGAGGGTAGTGTCGCAGAAGCCGCCTTCTCTATTCTGCCGCCCTAGGCGGCCGCCTAGGTCGCCTCTTTGGACGCGCCGGCCCTGCTTGCAAGCGGAAAAGACATGATATGGGAACGGCTGCTGCTATAGTTAATCCGGTGTGTGTGCATATTAGCCACGCTGTACATACTTGAAACTTGAAACTAGCGCTCAGTTGGCAACTTGTCATAACTTTTCCGTGCAACAGAAATGCGGCTTAGAGAAGCCTTTACGATTAATTAACTGTGACGAATTAAAGCGCAATTAATAGTGAAATAAGCTAATCGTTGCATCCCTATTAATGATTACAGTGCATTGTGCAAAAGGCGTTTTCTACAAAACATATCCAAATGTTTTCTGAATTGAATAGACGCACGTCACTTCATAGCTATAGCGGTCGTTTTTCGACTAAACTAAATTTATTTTTATGTCTTGGTCACACTATTTGGAGGGCCAGAACAAATTGCCTCGGGGACCGGGTTCGGCCCGCGGGCCGCCAATTGAATAGCTCTGATCTAGTGTTATATCTAATCAGTGCGCACTCGCGTGTTCATGACTTAAGGAGACGTGGTTTTGGATGACAAGGGAGAGTCGTAAAATTTCTAAGCTATTATACCACCTACTGCACCTTTGAGTTACTAGTATTTCTACACATGGATCATTTCACAATAGTCTATATATTGCATAAAAATGAAATCTCTCATTGTCAGATTGTTTTCCAGTATCGTGCAGGCCTAAAACAAATCAAGTCCTGTAATTAGAAGCGGGGGATTGATGATAGCAGTGATTTGCGCAGTTTTGATTTGATCCACATTCACCGCCGCCGCAGTGTGATGTGTTTATGATGAGCGTTTCCTCTGAATGAGCGTCTGCTAATGCTGTGAAAACACCAGCGCTAGCACATTTCAACGCCCGGGTTCACATATGAACCTGTACACTCTTTCCATCTGATGTGTCCTGATGAACGCGACACGTCAAACAGCAGCGAGTTTGACCAGCGCGGACGCT